AAACGCACATATTTTTTATTTAATAAATTTTATTATTATTATTTTAATACAAAACTTATAACCAACTGAAATCATTAACAAAGTCGAAAATGTATATAATAATAACTTTGCGGCAAACTTAGATCTCAACTAGAGGTTGAATCGGTCACTAGTTTGGAGAACATGTTCGGGTTTAACAATTCTTGATGAACAGTATTCAATTGCAAAAAAAAATATATATATATAATAATAATAATAACATATCATCATTTTTGGTTTTGAAATCTTTAGTATCCGAAAGTTATTTAAGGTGGGTAGTGGATACCAACAATATATGTAAGTTAAACTGTATTTGAAACTATTAAAGTTTTAAATAAAAAATAGAAACCACGTAAATTTATAATTTTCTAACTCTTATTAATAATAAAAAAGTGTGTTAAAAAATATACTATCAATATTTCTCAAGTAACTTTATTTGGTAGTAAACTCATTTATGGCAACAAAATGTTCCCCTGATTTATTTATTTATTTTATCCAGAAGGATCTAACTTAGATCTCACTATAGAGATATAAATTAATTTTACCGGTTAATCAAACTAACAATCACTCACTAGTTATTATTTAAACATTGATTATTAATCATATATCTTGAACTATATATATTTTTTAACTTGACTTCTATATTAGATTCTTAAATAGAATTTTCTTGGATAATTTAAAATTATCATCCGTAAGATTCAACTTGATATTAAAAATTTACAACAATTCACCCACGTCAGTTAAATACCTCATAACAAGAAACTGAAATTAGTTTAGTATTAGAAAAATGATAGAACCAAAATTTTATTCGAATGATGCGACATACTAGCTGACTCTTCTACAAGTTAGTACGTTACTGTTACTTATTTCATACAACAATATGAGAAGTCTGACTTATTATTTTAGGTTCGTATGTATCACCACTTTTCGAGTTTTAAATGGAAAGGGACGTAAGTTTAGCTAAAATAAATAATTAGTTAAATGGCACTGCGTGGAGCTTAATCCTTAAACTAAAGCATCTATACAGCTAGATTTTGGTATGTCTGGTAAGACCAAAAGGGAAAATATAGAACATGTCCAAATCTATGAAGGTATAGCTACCTAAACGGCATCTCCATCGTTTACTATATATTAGGTTAAAGTTTGATTGCCTCCAATGTAGGACGGGTCCAACTTTATGGCTCCAACTAGGAAAATAGAACCGTTAATGGATGCTTTATTTGCGGGGTTTTCTAATAACCATTTAATTAAATTGATGAATTAGTCATTTGGATCAAACCTAGAGCACATTAAAAAATATACCTATGACCTTTTAACCGTAAAATGGAACGTTGTATATTTTATATGAAATTGTAAAAACTAAATACATTTAATTTATTTTTCTAATTCTTATAAAGTTGGCCCTTTTTATTTACGTATAAGTTTAAAAAGAGTACCAATGATTATACATTTCGGTAATGAGTTGCAACATATATTATTATTAGAGGAAAAGATACCCTATACCTCTATTAATTAGAAAAAAATAATAATTTTGAATGTATGAACAGAAATTAGAAAAAAGTGAGAGTGATTAGAAGGCTTATAAAAATAAAAAATATTAAAATTGTATATCAACTTTATATTATTATAGATTATATATATATTAACACTTCTTTAGATGTTACCGTGTCAATGAATTGTGTGGACTGTG